TAATTTTGCCAAATATTTACACCCAAACAAATTGCAAAATACAATATTATTATAAAAAATAGATTTCAGAAGTTCATTGTGGACCGACAACAATATAATATAATTAAAAGTGAAATTCTGATGAATTCTTCTCTTTGTTGAACATTGGATTTGTTGAGGTATGTGTGGCCAATGCTTCTCATAAACAGAAATTACTGTAAATTATAATTTTTATAGAGCAATTATGCAAATAATTTTAAAAGCTGAATTATTTCGCCATAATTCATAAAAATATAATATTGCCCATTGTAAGATATTGTACAACTGGAGTACATGCAAACGCCACATAGAAACTATAAATCTAGATGGGTATGGTGCAAGGCAAGGACAATATATTGCGTAACTCATATATAATAGACACCTAGTGGTGCTACTGAAGAATACAGACTTTCTCATATTCGTTTTCTATATTCATTGGTCTGGGAAGAGGCAGGGCAGTGACATCAATTGATGTCCAGGGTCATCTAAGCCGGTAGAAACAGTGATGTAATCCTAGGTATATAGAGTAACCTGCGTGTGTTCATTGACTTGTCCGTCTGTAACTCACAGTTGGATTCTCTTTTAGCCCCGTTTGGTGTGCGCGAGGTCTCAGTGCAATGAAATAAACATTCGAAGAAATTAATAAAATAGATGTAACTTATTCAAATGAAACTGATTTTCTAAAAGGTTGATATTTGGGCAACATAATTAACAGTAAGAATCCATTTTGATTGAAATCAACAACCACCATGTTATTGGATAAATGAACAATTCATCACACGCACGCTAAATTAACGTCTGTGAAAGAGCTGAACGAAGTAATTTGATCAGAATTAAATCGATACTCATGGAATGGGAGAGAATCGTGCATTTGTCGAGCGCAGAGTTCCGTTATAGCAATTACGAGAGCGCATTTCGATCTACAGAGCTGTCGAAACGACTTTTAAGAGTCAACATCCCAAATCGACTTCCGGAAACTAGCCTTTCACCTAAATAGTTACTGGAAAATGCTTTGATATAGTCACAAACATACTAATTGAATGTATTTTTACTTTCCCGTACACATACGTATACACGGCATGCGTAGTTTAGGGAAAGGTATGTAATGCGCCGCGATAAATTGTAAAGTACCTATCCCCCACATTAATAAACCAATTTACAATTCAAGGGGTTGCGACCTCAGCCAGATTGATTTCGGGACATCAATTTCAGAGAAAATCAGCTGAAAGTTTTAGCTGCTAGCGTTATTCACAGACGGACAGGCATACGGATTCTCGTTTCACCACGTGTTAAAAGATTGTTCTAAATTTAACAATTGTGTTTATCCATACTTCAGTTACCAGGTCTCTGTAAAAAATATTGTTCTGCCGAAAATTCGTCTTTGTCCCGGCAGCATTACGAAACTTTCTATTCTTAAAAAGTACGTTCTTAAGAGCGAGAAATAAAAAGGATTGTCACTTTCACTATAACAGGAGTAAGAATGTATTTTTCCTTTTTCCTCAAATGCGCTTTTAGATAATCGTAGGTTGGAAAAATTTGTCTTGGAATTGTTGTAGTTGTGCTGTAGGTTTATTCTTCCGATGGAGTACGAACGGCGCGTTTCGTTTGGCCCCGAGCGGAACGGGGCCGCACGTTCAGCGCACGATCAGCTTGCGGCCCGCGATCCACCCGCCCCCACCCGCCCCCTGGGCCATC